TTCTTTCTTTTTCTTTCTTTCTTTCTTTCTACCTTCCTTTGATTTCTTTCTTCCTTCCTTCCTTCCTTTCCTTCTTCCTTTCTCTCACCTTTCTTCTTTACTTGTTTCTTTTTTCCTTCAATTTTTCCTTCCTTTCCTCCTTCGTAAAAAGACGTTCACACTAAATTACCGAAGGGCTTTGCAAACACCACAGGAAAGGCATCGTTTGTGAGCTTTCAACTTTGACCTTTCCAATTTGAAGACTCCTTTTTTCTACATTAAGCACAAATTAAGACCGTAGCTCAAAATATAACCATTTTAAAACCGACAGAAAGACAGACACATCTATCTATCTCTAAATCTATCAAATCAAGGTGTTATTTTAGTTTCAAAGCAAGCAGCTTACGTGAGAATTGTATAGCTCACGTGAGAAGTTAAAAGTAAGCCTTTGGCAGAGGAGGTGAAACGGGGATAAAATATAAAGATTTTTCCTTATATATCTAAACCAATTGGATTTTATTGCGAACATATCGATCAATCACTATAGATGCCCGTTCGCCTAGTCTCGACCTTTCGTCATTTGGTTTTCGGGGGTTTCAGATCCAAATTTAGCTCGCGTTATTAGGCTGTTCAAGAACCACGTCCCCCAGTCACTTATAACAAAGCTTTAATTGCGAATTCTTAATTAATCCGTCAAGTCACATTCTTACTCTTCAACTACTATGTGAAAATTGAAGCCTGAAACACCATCTTTAGAAAAGAGAAGAAAGATAAATATGATCTCGAGGAGCCGGAGAGTTTCACACAACACTACAGCAACACAAATTTAAACCGCGGCTTCTAAATATATACCATATATTAGATGCCAAGCAGTTAGACACTAGCTTTTAAAAGGATTAAAGGGAAAAAAGAGAAAACGTTTATCCTCCAAGAAAAATGCCTTTAAATCTTTACATAGTATATTCCCCATTTTACGAATGGCCTAAAAGCTTTCCCCAATTTTTCTTTTCGACTTTATATTTAAAATAATAATAATAAAGAAATAAAGAGATGTGTGAATGTACACTAACCTATTGTAGAAGTGTTCGTATTCATGGTCGAAGGATACAAGCCTCGTCGATGTCCGCTTGATTCTGTTCAGTTTGGCTCCCTGGATGATATTTAACGTACAACTACGTTCACCACAAGCTGTTTAAATAAGTTAAATAAGATTTCCATTATCTAAATTATCAACATCCTGTTGTAACAGCCGTATATGCGTCACTCTCATTGGATGTCTGTCTAAACAGTTGGAACGCTGGATTGGATTGTGGACTTTGAATGACTAGCACTGGAATGGGATGTGCAGAGAAGAGCAGAGGAGAGGAGAGAAGACAAGAGAAGAGAA